GGGGGGTGGGTTGCAGTTTGCACGAAGTCAAAGGGGAAGGGGATTGGAATTGGGCTCTGCTAGCGTTCGTAGTTGTGTTTTGGTTGGTACCTTCGGGCTGGTGCTTCTTCCTCTTCCGAGGTTCCTCATGTAGGACATTTAGGTGTCCTAACATTCAGGATCCTGGTTCTTACTGTTGCCATGCCGCTACTAGGCCCATTTCTGTTCGGGGGTGCGGGGTGGGGTGTTGAGTTTTAGCGTCTTGCGCTGGAGCCAACCAAAAGAACCTGCGCCTTCTCCTGTGGGCCTAAGGTGCACGAAACTGAGAATATCCCAAGTCATCCCAAGTCGAGGCCAAAGCTGTTGATCGCCTGCACCTCCTTCTTGACAAACTCCTGGAAGGCAGCGCTCGCTGGGTGTCGACCGGGATTAGGGCTCAGGGCGCAGGCGACGGCTGGCAAGTCTGGTTGCCGCCCTCCCACTGAGAAACAAAAAGGAAAAACGCAAAGCCAGCAACTCGGGATTCTTGAGGTTCAAAGGTTCGCAGGCAAGCTTGCTTGCTACAAAGCCGGACAGGGAGTCCACCCCCGATGCGCGCCGAGGCGGCTTTTCCTATCCCGTCGGCGCAGGATCGCCAGGCTCGGCCTCTTTGGGCACTAGGTCCATGGAGCCCGGTGAGGTGCTCACCAGCGCCACGCGGTTGTGGAACCGTCGGCAGGCCTCGTGGCTTTCCAGCAGGCCTTGGCCGGCCGGCGCATAGGACTCGTAGGGCGTGGGTTTGGAGTTCCGGGGAAGGCACCGCGCCAGAGTTGGTTGTCTGGGCGGTTCCGGAGATTGGGGGCGCGCATGTCATGCTAGGATGACAGACGAGAGAGAGCGACTTGGCTCAAGCGCAAAGATCCCAAAGCAAAGAACAACCAAGTCTCTGACAATGCACCCGCTATGCTATGTCAACTCCAGAGAAAGGCACCTCGCACGAACCAGTCATGCGACACAAGCCGAAAGTAAGAGATCCTCTGGACTGACTCTAGACATGTCTGATGACCCTGAGTGGTCAGCCACTGAGCCCATATCACAATCAGGTAAATCCTCCATGGATTGGTTAGGGGAAAGCCCACACCGTGAGCCTCAAATCCCCTGGACTGGCCCCCAATGTCACAAGCGCACCCAAGGTTCCGAACCTGGCGCGGAAAACCTCGTCCTCAAGCCCCGCAACCCTTATGACTTATGATGAAGCTTGCGATCTCACACAAGAACCAGAAAAGGTTGATTAAGGAAGCACCCAGAGAAAACCGCGCAAACCTCTGCCATGAACCTGTGCCTTAAAGCCTGACCATTTCTAGTGTCATGAGTTTTGGATTCTGGGCTCAAGAGTTAGTGTGGCTCCAACAATCTGCTCAATCTGCTTCAGTCAGGATGCTTGGGCAAGAAAGGCCCTCAACGCCTTCCGAAGAGCGCTTGCGCTTGCGCCCGTTGGGGTGCTGCTCCTGTCGCTGACCAGCTGCGGCTTTAAGGTAAAACCCAGACCCCAAACTCCGAACCTTTGGGGTTGAGACGGTGGGTTTAGGGTTTAGGGTTTAGGGTTTAGGGTTTAGGGTTTAGGGTTTAGGGTTCAGGGTTTAGGGTTTATAGCAAAAACTCAGCGTGCCAATTTCGCGCGGCGCAGTACCCTGGACTCGAAAAACCTCATCCCGAACTATCGCCAAAGCCCCCTATAAGCAGATTCCCTGTAACTTAGGGACACCATCGCAGGCCCTTTTGATAATGCTTGGGGCCCTTCGGGTCGATGTCAGGGCTGCTAGGGTGCGCAATGCAGCCATTCGAGGCCCGAGTGCGCGTCCTTGGCATCCTCCTCCGGCATCGCCTTCTGATTCACGTGCCGTATCCAGCGGTCCATTTCCATCAAGAAAACCTGGACCGGGGCTGGGGGCATGGCATCGGAATGCTGTGAAAGTGCTGATGGCCAGCCGATATTCATGAACATGCTGCAGAACGTTCGTAACGGTGTCTCTTACCAGGAGAGGTGACCTCGTCCTCCATCGAGGACTCCCTGTATAGACATTGTGGCGAGTGCTGGATGCATGGCAACCAAAGGCGCACTATGGCACTGGGGCCGGGAACGGGAGGGACACCACCTTGGAGAGTCTGTGAAGAGCATCTCTTCTCATCGACAATGAGCCAACATCAATATTCAGACAGGGAAAAGCCGTTGACCCTGCTGTGAAGTCTGCCTTGTGATCTGGTTCAGTTGGAAAGACAATCATCTCACGATGAACACATGACATATACACAATCGAGAAACGGGCCGACAACACTGGATGATGTAAAGAGGCTCATGATTCCTAAGCGATGAGGAAGAAGATTATGATGATGATGATGACGATAAAAGCGGCGACAATGATCATCATCACTAGTAATATTTTATCATTTCCCGAGATGATGCTAATCATCATAGTGCCGGAGGTGGTGGTGGTGCTGGTGGTGCTGATGGTGCTGATGGTGCTGATGCAGAGCAGTAGGATGGCAACCGAAGCCGGAGTAGTGGTGGTAGATGAAATGGCCGAAGCGTCGTCGAGCAAAGAATGGAAGTCTGCAGCTAAGCAGTGTCCACCTCGGCCGTGACAGTCGCATCGTAGCCTGCGGAATGGGCCGCTTTCGCAATGGTGGTGCAGCGCTCCTGGCCACATAGTGTATGATTGAGGGTCTCTGTCTCTTACTCATTGGGAGCTTACCTACGTGCAGGCTGGGGGTGCAGCACGAAGCTGGGTGGCGTGAGGCCTGTGCCTTTGAGATTACAAAGATCTACATGTTGAATCTTCATGGCTTTCTGGCCCCTGAACCCTCGGGCCTAAACGCGAAACTGAAACCGCTGCGAATAAGGGCAGAACTCGCACGAAGTCGAGGTGCTATGTTCAGGCCGTGCAGCTCGCTTTGTAGGTGCCTTGCCGGGTTGAAATTGTGAGGCGTCTTTGGGAGTTAAGTTGGCCGGCTCGGTGTAAAGGCAGAGTCACCGGGAGTTTCGGTCCTCGGCGGACTGGGAGTGTAAGGCCTGTTGAAATGTTCGTTGATTTGGCTTGACACCGCTGACCCCACCGGCTTATCTTCATCAAAATGTTCATCTCCGTCATCATCTGTGGCTATTACAGTTGTTGATGCTCTTTGGCACCGTCAAACCCATTATCATGTTGCTCGTCTGACTCTCATATTTGGCGTTCTGCTCAGCCTCGTCTTCTTCACTTCTTTCTTGGAAAGTCTACCGAAACTGCAGCAAAGGTGCTTCTGCAAGGTCTCAAGGCTCAAGCCCCCTGCATGCTGGAGCACATCCAGCCGCCCATCCTGTGCCAGCACGCGGGTGTCGAAGAGCAGAGGGAAGTGCTCCACCCAGGCCTTTATGCAGGGGTTAAGGTGTGGAGTGGAATTTAGGTCGGCCGGGTCTACATGCAAAGGGGCTGATCACTTCGGGAGCCACACAGAGGGACTACGCTTCTTATAGACCAGCCAAGGTTCGGACCCGCCCCCACCGGTCTGTTTTGGGCTCTAAGGTTGAAACTTATGCATACCAGGTTTTCTAAGTGGTGTTGGTCCAGACCAAGAATCATTGACATTGCGATTGTTGCGACTAGCGGTTGGGTTGATAGAGAGGCTTAAGAGGCCGTAGCAGCACTCGCAATACTGATGATGACGAGGATGACGCTGATGCCCGGTTACCATCACCATCGCCTCATCGGATCCCCTCCCAAGCTGAGTTCCACATCCTAGGTCCTAAGCCCCGCACCGCCCATCGTGCAAAAGGCAAACGAGGCACGAACGAGGTCGCCGAGAAAACCAGGGCTTCTAATTCTATAAGGCTTAAGCCCTAAACCCTAAACCCTAAACCCTAAACCCTTAGATTTTCGGAGGCAGAGCCGAACCGAGAGCTTGAATCCGATTCTCCGGCCAATGTGCACAAGTCTGCGTCTCAGCAAGGAAAGACCTATTGGGTTTATGGTTTCGGGTTTAGGGTTTAGGGTCTAGGGTTTGGGGTCTAGGGTTTGGGGTTTAGGGTTTAGGGGTTTAGGGTCAGTCAACGGCATCCTCCAATTAACGGTATGCAGATACTATGCCAATGTCTCCCAAGAAGCTCTACACCAGGGACCAAACACTGCCAGACCCTGCATAGAGACATAGAGCTCAAGTAGACCAAGGTTTGCAGCCGGGGGAGGGGGGTGAGTTTTGTGTGGCGTGGTACTAGATACGGATACGAGGGAACGCTGATTTCGAGTTGTTAATGCTCCTACATGTCATTCCTAAGCCGGCCCTCAAGCTAAATCCTGAACCTTAGACTCTAAACCTTTGCGAACGCGCCTTGCCGAAGGACTCTGGATCCGCGGGAAGGTCGCCAAGGAACTTGTCATAGAGGTGCAGCATGTCCAAGCTGGTTCGGCTCTCATTTGTTTAGGGTTCCGGGTGTAGGGGTTTTTACATGGAACCCATACATGCCATACCCATTAAAAAAAGAAACGCTTGTCCCAACAGCCAGGACGTAGTGCATCATGGTTTGGGAGAACGTATGAACTCAAGCATGTCATGTTTTAGGCATTACGAACTGACCCTAAACCCTAAACCCTAAACCCTAAAGGCCCTATGTAGACGTTTATTGCTTTCGAGCCGGGGGCTGGTTTACAGGTTAGCAGCTAGCGTTTGCTGGTGCCCATCCTGCGGGCTGATCCAGTCGGAAACCTGGGAGACTTGGATAATGTAGGGGCCTAAATGATTACCAATACTATTTTGGGGGGTTCCTTATCATAACTGTACTGTAATGGGCCCCAAAACCCTTTTCTAATTATTAAGGCACCTACCTTATCTTTGGATCTCAAGTCGGACGCTGAGCCTTGAACCCTCAACGGGCCACCCCGAAACCTAAAACTACAAACCTGCTGTCCACTGTAAGGCTTTCCAAGGATCCCAGCTTTGCAAGTCATGCAAGCCTGAACTAAACCCAACCCGGAACAGCTTAGCGCTAATGTAGGGGCCTTAAAAGTTAGAACAGGGTTTTGGGGTATATTAATTCTATCATAATTATGATAAGGAACCCCCGAAATAGTATAGGTAATTATTAAGGCCCCCATCTTAGAGACCCAAGCAAGCTAAGGCGGCCAAGGCTTTGGTGGGCCACTACTTAAAGGATCATGGGACTTAGTAAGTAAGGCTATAAGTCCCTTAATTGGGGTTCTAAGTAAATATAAGTATAGTTACCTTAATTATAACCCTACTTACTAAGTCCCATGATCCTTTAAGTATCCCAAGCTGATCGTTTCGCGGACAAGCAGCAGGCCATTGTGCAATATCACTGGAACCTCGCTGGCGAGGAACTTAAAGGTTTAGGGTTTAGGGTCTAGGGGTTTAGGGTTTAGGGTTCCCTAAGTCTTAGGGTTCAGGTTTACCGGACTGTCCTGGATGCTTTGCTGGGACTCGATTTTGGCCGCAGGGGTGGCTTTGTTTTGGGTTGCAAGTGCGCAGAGTTTTGGCCCTTCAGGGTTGGTGGAGATCACACGCCATGGGTTGTGCACAGTGACAGCCTGAGAGTTTTCTTGCACCGGCTCGGCCAAATCGTCAGAAAACTTCCAGCAGCTCTGAAGACAAAGTTCGCCTCGTGTTTACGATCTGGATTCCACAATTGGTTGGCTGATCCTCGCATTTCTTGCATACTTGCCATGGGGTTACCTCCCAGCCCTGTGCACCTATGCACCGTGGCATGGCTAGGACTAGGATCAACTACCACAAACCGTCTCAGAACCAGTAAACCCTCAAGACCCCGCACAGTAGTCCTTTTGCATCGGGCCTTCACCACCGCACGGTGTGCACGAAGCAATCCCCAAAGCCCAAACTCTAAGCCTTTGACACCAAACCGTCACAGACCCAACATCGCGAAGACAAGTCTTTGGCGCCTTGGCGTCCCTCAAGGCTTGGAGAACCGGCGTAGCCTTCACGTGCGCATTGCCGGCCAGCTTGTGGCCCAATGGTGGAAGCCTGTTCAGTATGGCTTCGGGCCGATACCCTAAACGCTGAAAACCCTAAACCCTAAACACTAAAAACCCTAAACTCCCTCAAGCCTGGACCCCTAGACCAAGTCCTGCAATGGCAGGCACTACTCTTGCAGCATTGCACCATGGTTCCGCATCTCACCAGAATGCCCGTTCCGATGAGTTCAAAGTTCAACGGCTCAAAGTTCAGGTAGGCAGATCTAAACTTAGTGCTAAGGATACGCAGCAGTGAAGCACTCCAGTTTACAAACACCACCGGGGAGAAGAGCCGTGATGTTCGCCATGATTGTGCCATGATCCTAGGATGTCAAGTCACGTCGACTCGCAAAGGTACAAGCGCAGCACCAACTAGCAACCTGATTCCGCCACAAATAGCCTTGAGCTCGTAATAAACAGCGGGGCCCTGATACCATCGCGACTTGCGATGTGCACTGCCGTAGCATCGAGCACCATCAAGGACCGGAAAGGAAGCGATGCGTCGGAAAACTTACCGTTCAGGGCTTGCCTTTACGGTTGTGGGGTGGGGCTTTTGGATCTGGGCTTCTGAGCTGTGAGTGCTCATTGCGTCGAGCTGCTCAAGGACCCTTTGGCTGCAACTTAGGGTTTAGGGTTTAGGGTTTTAGGGTTTTGGGTTTAGGGTTTAGGGTTTCCGAGGGTTGCAACGATGAGCCACAGTACCTTCCAGTCTTGTTGTACATCTGGCGCCCCCACACACCATGATTTGCTAAGTCGTTACCACTAGTTATCCTTATGGTCGCTGTCGTCCTAACAGGGCTTTGCATGAGGGCCCGTGGGAACTCAAGACAACAACTCGTGCTGGTCGGAAGGCGCAAAACTTCGCATCTGGATCCTGAAGCCCGAATACCGGGTTTAGGGTTTAGGGTTTAGGGTTTAGGGTTTAGGGTTTAGGGTTTAGGTGGCTTAGGGTTTCGGGTTTAGGGAAAACTTAAGTCCCGCGCCTGGAATAAGGGTGGGCGCGCTCCAGAAAGGCATTGAAGTCCTAGTGGATGGAGGGAGACCGAACCGGCACGGGCTTCTGTCTCACCGTTAGTAAGTTTGGCCAAATGTATTTCCTGTACTTGCATGCAGATGTACATGCACTCATAAACACCTGCACACATGCGTAAATGCATACATGCATGAACATTGGCATGTAAGCGTAGATAGATACGTGTGTACTCGCATGCATACATACATGCCTGCATACGAACGAACATATGCACATGAATACTACCTTCAGTCTTGGCTGCTACCCAAAACGCGGGTTTGGGGGGTATATTTTACTATCATTATAATAAGGATCCCCCAAAAAAGTGCTGGTAATTATTTAAGCACCTATTCTAGCTTACTTGAGTTTCACGGCTTCGTTCATCCGGCCACTTCCCGGCTTTTGATATTCCCCTACAGCCGTTGCTGATGTAGATGAGACAAACATACCAGATACATGTATGCATGAATGCTTGGTGCATGCATGTATGTATGCATGTATGTAGCCATGTAACTAAGCATGTGACACATATATATATATATATGTATATACATATATATATATATAGGTAGGTATGTTTAACTGTTTCCATATAGGCATACATATAAATATGCCCCTACACAGGCACATACACGTACATATCTGCCTGCTTGCTTGTCTGCCTGTCTGCCGCCTGTCTTGGCTAGCCATTGGCCGGCAAGCGACACAATATCTCTATGAGTCTCTGTCCGTCGACAGGCACGCATGCATGCATGCATGCATTCTTTAGGTATAATACTGTTGCCATTTATGCTTGTGCTGTTCCATGATCAACACCAAACAAAATATTAACTACTAAACAGAAGCTATCGCACCTTGCTCTGCCCAGGCACAAAACCATGGGTGCGCAGAAATTGTAGCGACTGCAAGTCCACCATAAAAAGCCGCCGATCTTGGGGCCAAAGGTCAAACTCATGCGTTCCTCGCATCATGGAGAAATCTGGTTGAGGGTGTAGGGATTTTCCCACCCGCCCAGCCGGCAGAGTCGCACCACAGGTTTCGGGTCTAGTGTAGGATTCTTTTGTGTTGGCACATCTTTTCATCCCCAGGTCCCCTCGCGCCAGCTTGCTTCTACCTTGCCTATCTGACCCCACAATTGAAACGGAGTGTCTGACCAGAAAACCGTCATCCATGCCCAGAACATCCCACAACCTGCTGAACCGAAGACCCCAAACTTCAACACCCTCAACTGCCGGCCGAACCCTACTTAAAGGATCATGGGACTTAGTAAGTAAGGTTATAAGTCCCTTACTTGGACTTATAAGTGAATATAAGTATAGCTACCGTAATTATAGCCCTACTTACTAAGTCCCATGATCCTTTAAGTAACAAACCCTAAAACCAAACCCTAAACCCTAAACCCTGAACCCTGAACCCCTAAACCCTACACCCTACTTACTAAGCCCCATGATCCTTTAAAGTAAAACCCTAAAACCGAGCGGCGGAGCTCCCAGGCCTGTTTCTCTTTCTGAAACTGGACGCAGCACAAACCGAGCTGCAAGGCCAGAAACTTGGGCACGCCTAGGCACCCAGAGACTCCAATATCCCTTAATTAAGGAATATACCTTAGATCATATTAAGGATCCTACTATAGCTTAAGTTATATACCTTAATTAAGGGATATTGGAGCCTCTGGGCAGGTGCAGGCATTTTGCGGTATCGGGTGGGAAGCTTGAGGGTGCGTTCGAGCCTTTGCGGGTGTGGTGGGTTGACTGAAGTGTTAAGGGTTTAGGGTTTAGGGTTTAGGGTTTAGGGTTTAGGGTTTGGGGTTTTGTGCCACGAACTGACAACCCGTGCAAGTGTCAGACTGATGACATTGTTCATTGTGCGCTCCCGGCTAGCTGCCTATGCTTTTGTGCGAGCGGCTCCCGTTATTCCAAAGGTGCCACATGCGATCCATGTTGTTAAGAAGGTTGAGGCTTCACTGATTTCGGGCTTCACACTCTCACTAACATCGCACGTGCAAGCATCAGGTTATAGTCACGTGGCTTTGGATTGCTGAAGCGTGCAGGTGTCTAGGTTGGAGGTGGCATGATGTTCCAGAGTTGCGCGCCATCGTTTCCAAAGATCTTTCAGTCGAGCTTCTCTCCACGCAACGGGCAAAGTAGGCCTCAGTCCGCAGCGATCGAAATAGATAGAGACTGTGCTGTAGAACGTTGATGCCTAACACCTTGGCTCTATAGTATCTACACCTACATGGAGAAAGGCTAACATCTACATGCGAGGTACATCCTACCTACCCGGGCGCTGGAGCCCAACACGAGCGTTCAAGGCCGCCTCGTGCCTCCCATGAAGACATGGGCCCGGGGCGATGTCAATGAGAGCAGATTTCATCACACACACACACACGCGCGCGCACTGAAACCCAAAGGGCGATTTTGATGATCATGATGATGACGAAAGGGACCCCACTCGCAGAAATCAGATGCACCGAGTACGAAAAGGCCCCACGACACGCAAGACCCAAGCGGGTCAGGCCCCCCAAACCCCACACCCCTGAACCTAAAGCATTGTCTGATCACCCTCATTAAATTTGTTCGCCCCTCCCTGAATGCTTTCGGAGTCACGATCAACGTTTCTTGGTTGCCCTGAGCCCCGAACCCATCCCGGAATCCCCTCACGCCTCCAGTACCTGCGGGCCCCGCTGGTGATCGACAAAGAGTCCCGAGAACTCCAAGTCCAGTGCAACGAAGTCCTGAGCAGAGGCCGCCGGGTTTAGGTTTAGGAGTTTAGGTTTAGGGTTAAGTAATAGTAATACTAATAAGAATAACAATAATATTTAATAGTAATAGTCATTATAATAATCATCATAATAATAATAAGAATAACAGTGAGAATAATAATAATAATAATAATAGTAATAGTAATAATAATAATAGAAGCGTTGTAGGGTTTTAGGGCTCAGGCTTAGGAGTTTCCCATGTTTCGGGCTTCGGGTTTAGGGCTTGGGGGGTTATCCACAGAAGGAGATCTTGAGGTCAAGGGCTGAACGCCGAGAGATAGGGACGATTAAACCCCAAATCCCATGCTCCCTAAACCCTAAACCCTAAACCCTAAACCCTAAACCCTAAACCCTAAACCCTAAACCCTAAACGGCAGTCTAGGGGGTGCATGGGCTGAAGCGTTTGATGGTGAGGGCGTGAAGTTTAAAAACAGATTGACATCACAAAACCTCAACAACTCCTCAGAGAGGCTCATGGTTTTGGGCTTCCATCGCCCTTCCCATAGAAGGGTGGGCAGAAGGCGCCGCCCCCATGAGATCCCTTTTAGGACATCTCAATGTTGAGGGTGTAGGGTTTAGGGTTTGGGGTTTAGGACAGACAGTCAGGATTCTGATTGCTTTCCTCTTGTTGATCGCCCCTTTTCCCTCCTCTGGTCTGCCTTTTAGTCTAGGTTTTTGACACTCACACTCGGACAACCATCAGGCAAGGTCTGCAGAGATACGAGGCAACAAAGTACTCTCACCAAGGAGGGCACTTTTTAGAGTTTAGGGTTTAGTTATGTTCGGTTGATGGTTTGGCCTTTCTGGCTCCACACTCCAAACATGGGCGTTTAATCACCTCTTGGGGCTACAGTATAGCAAAACTAAATAACTAATCATAATTAATCCAGGATAAGTGCTCCAGGGGGTTCTGATTCCCAGGCAGGCGTCAGGGTTTGCACTTCAGTGGTTTTTTACGGTGCGGCTGTTAGTGGGGCGTTCGGGATCGGCGTCCACAGGTCTGCCGCTGCCAGGCTTTAGGGTTTAGGGTTCAGGGCTGCCAGCCCAGCGCAGCTGAGCTTCTGCGACTTCGATGTCGGAGAGGCACCTCATCGAAGTCGGTGCACTGGGTGGGAGTTATCTAAATGGGTTTTCCAGGATGCCTGGGGCGGGGATACCGGGTCCCTTTCGGCTATATAACCCTAGGCTTCCAAGGACCGTATAGTTAGGGCCCTAGACCTCTTAAGGACCCAATAATAAGGTCCCTGGAAGCCTAGGGTAACATATAATGACTAAGCGTCCGTCCAGGGCACCTCTTTACCGCAAGGCTTCGGGCCTGATCCACCATGGCGTCCAGGCCATGGGCGCAAGGGAAGCCCCGGGATGTTTTAGGGTTTAGGGTTTAGGGTTTAGGGTTTAGGGTGTTGGGTTTAGGGTTTAGGGTTTAGGGTTTACGGCTTCAAGGTCCTAGGGTTGACGGCTTTGGGGTTTTAGGGTTTAAGACGGTTTAGGGTTTAGGGCTTTAGGCTCCTGGGGTTGACGGCTTAGGGGAATTTGGTTGTGGGCCTTTATAATCAGAACACGGTTCCTTTAATGGGTTACTACAAGGGTTATTAGTTGAGGGTCGAGGCCATAGCAATTAGAATACGGTTTTGGGGCCCATTATACTATAATTAGAATAAGGAACCTCCAGAATAATATAGGTACTTATTCAGGCCCCTACATTAGAGTTTTGAGGGTCTGGGAATGCAAAGTGTAAATGGGTGACTAAGGTCTTTGGGTTGAGGGCTTTTAGGGTCTCACTTCACGGCTACGGGCTACGGCACAGCTTCGGGGAGCAGCGACGTCTTTCTCAGGAGTCATTTGAAGGATTGCCGTCATGGCACTGCCTGGGTTCAACTTGATCAGCTGCGAGAGCACAAAGTAATTAGCAAAGGATGTCGAATGGAAGCCGGAACCAACCCTCCAGCAGTTCGAGGTCTGTGGCGCTGGGATCCCGTCACCGGAGGGGCGTCCTGTTTGAAGAGTGGGGCGCGGAAGAAGTCGGCGAATCGGTCCAGCCCCTGCCAAAATACTTCCGCAAGCTCCCGTTCCCCTACACGCGCAACCCTCTATGCAACTCTCGCATACTGCAGCATGAAGTTTCAAGTGCTTGAGGGCCTCTACCTAATTTTGCTACACAGAGCTGGGAGCCCCTCACAAGGCATGCTCCAAGCATCTCCGGCTGCTTCCGACCGCTGTCATCTACTGCACCGGCCTAGGCAATAGCAGAGTCTCGTGCAGGGTCCAGTGTGCTATTACCTAAATCCTGTATCTCACAGGCCTCGCGGGCAGCATCAGAGGAGGCAGCCGCGAAGTACACGGTGACCTCAAGACGGCACTAGTTTTCGTGTTGAGGTCTCTGTTTCCGGTTTAACTAACTCCTAGGGCTTGCAATTCCACACGCTTCTTGTCCTGCAGCCAAATCGGAAGCTTAAATACCTTCGCGAGCGCAACTCAAAACATACGTCGACTCCCGTAACTCGGACAGTCCAGAAAAGGCTTCCGTGGTGAGACCTACTTCCTAATTCGGCCTCTGGGCCCCAGAGCATTAAAAACATGTAGCATTCGTCTCCCTACAGCTTCAGGGTTTCGACTCACGCACTCGCACAAGGCAGACATGGCTTCTGAAGGTCCGATCTTGCTACCGTGACATGTGCGAGAAAGCAGGCTAGTGAGTGGAGAGATTGCTGATACGGGGCTAAACACCATCGGAACAAGGAGACTAGACGAGCCCACTGAAAGCCACTCGCCGCTAGTCCCGCAAAGTAGCCAGGCCGAGTACGGCAGCGTCAGGGTTTGGGGTTTAGGGTTCGCCAGCGCAGCGGCGTCCGTGTCACGTCCCACAGTTACAGGGTGCTACCCTAAACCCTAACCTTGTGAGGTGCCTTTTGATCATCTTGGAAAGCTATCGTTCCGAAAGCCCAAAATCCTTCCCGCGAAAGCCCGAAATCCTCCCCCCGAAAGCCCGAAAGCCCAGAATGCTCCCCACGAAAGCCCGAATCCCTCTCCGCGAAAGCCTGAATCCCCAAGAAAGCCCAGCTTTTGGCCCAAAATCCTCACCACGAAAGTCCGAACCTCCACGAAAGCCTAAATCCTCCCCACGAAGCCCAACCGGCAAGCCCTCCGGGTTCACACAAACATAGCAATGGAACCAATTGTGCTTGGCTGGTGCTGGCTGATTACAGGTTTAAGTAAAATGGCTTGAAATCTCAGTTGACATTACTTCTGACAATGAAAACCACAAAATGCTGCGGTGGCGCATTAGGGCGCAGCCCCTAAAAGTTTAGGGCATAGCAGCCCATAGCCCACAGGAAGCTTCTTAGACCGCACCTCTGATGCTGTGAAGGCATTCGAGGATCCACCGTACCTCGCAGCTGCGGCAAGTACAGAGAGAGTATACCACGAGTTCCGAAACCCTCATTAGGCCCGGATCACTCTCAAGTCCTACACCCAGGAGTCCCTGGCCCCTAGAATTCGGTGATCCCCATCTCAAACCTAAGGTGAAATTGCTGCGGCTCTGACCCCTGACCTTGCACCCCCGTACCAGAGGGGCACTTCATGAGGAACTGATCGAAGCCCTGGGCGCACGTTTAACTTCTGAGGCCTTACTGATTAGAATAGGCTTTTGGGGTCCTTATTTATAGTATAATTATAATAAGGAACCCCCAGAATAGTACTGGTAATTACCTTAGACCCTTTTCCCTAAACCTTATTATTCAGGCCCCTACTTTCACGTTTGAGGCTTAAGGCTTTCAGGGCCGGGCTTCTTCGACTCTCGTGGGGGCGCGTACCAAGATGCATAAAAGGGTTTTGGGGTTATTAGGGGTTTAGGGGCTTAGGGGCTTGGGGGTTTAGAGTTTAGGATTTAGGATTTAGGGGCTTAGGGTTTAGGCACTTGGGGTTCTATAAGGTGAGCTTACCGCTTGTAACCTTTGCGGACGCATGTTGCCTGGGCTACAAGTTCTGGGCGTTCGCCCTCGGACAGTTCAGTTCAAGCTCCGGCGTTTTGAGGGGTCAAGCTCGGCTGATGGCTGCGAAATGAAGGGGCGAACCAGCCGAATCCTGACAGTTCGCTACCAACCCTGTAATCCCTCCAGCCCTGAACCCAAAGCCCGAAAACCCTAACCCTAAACCCTAAACCTAAAGCCCTAACCCTAAACCCTAAACCATAAACCCTAAACGCCTAAACCCTGAGAATGGCACAGGGCTACCAAGTAAGGCTGCTGAAAGGCTCGGAGGTTGCAGCGAAAGCACAGAGGCCCGTTAGCCAAGGCCCTACCATGATTTCGTGATGCAGAATTTCGTGGTTTGATGTGCGTCTTGGAGGTTTTTCAGAGGTTGGGGCCTGGTGTTTCTGGGTGCAGTACTGGTCTGCTGCCAGCGGGCACTGTTCTCGGGATACTTCTCCGTACCCAGGAACAGCATGTGCTCGCAAAAGTGGGCGAGTCCTTCCGCGCTTCATACCATTTGGGGGTTTCCGAAAATAGGGGACCCTAATACAGTACCCCAAATAATAGGATCCTTATTATAAGGACCCCAAAATAAGGTACCCCTGATTTTCGGAAACTCCCATTTTGGGTTTGAGGAGTTGCGGTTTAGGGCTTGGGGATGCTCGGGGTGTAGTGCAAAGTTTAGGTTCCAGGCTGAGGGTCCAGGGAGCACAAGCTTTTGCGCGGGGATGTACAGGCGTCCGTAAGCTTCACAAGGCCTTTGTGCAGGGATGGCTCTGAATTTTGGGGTTTCGGGGTCGGAACTCCCTCAAGCATCTGCAAACCAGAAGCCGCATACACCCTACAGCTTAGACCCCAGAAGCCTCCATCAGAAGCCCCAAACCATGCTAGACCCCGAACCTTTTAAATCCTCAAAGCTGAAACTTTTTCCGGGCTGGGCGATGGGCAACAGCAGCAGCCAGACGGCTTCGTGCTTAAAGCTTAAAGCTTGTATCAGGGTTCAGCTTGTGGCTTTTGGGGGTGTTGGGCTTTGCTTGAAGCTGTCATGGGTAGCTATATGTATAGTTGTATCTTGAACAGGGCTTCCACATGCTTAGGAGTGCGGCGGCCCCTTCTTCGCGGTAACTATGTAAGGGCAGTAGTAGTTTCAATAAGGTTTTGGGGCCCATTATACTATAAATATAACAAGGAACCAAAATAGTATATTTATTTCAGGCGGTGCAAAGTCCCGGTTGGAACGTACCACATGCAAAAATAAATTCAAGCAGTGAAACTAAATGTAAGCGAAGGCGAGTCCTGCGACAGCCTGGAAATGTTTTCCAACCAGCTGGCGATCACGCCCGCTTCCTGAAGAGAAATTGCGAAAGCCAGGGCTGCCGGTTTCCCATCCGAGGCGAGAGACAGGGCAAGGCCAACCCATGCTAGTGTACGCGAAAGCCATGAGGAGTGCTGTCTGAGAGCACGCAAGGGGCATGAGGTAGGCTCCCAAAGCCCGTTGGTGCGAAAAGGGGGCGCAGGGATAGCAACTTCAATGCCAGAAATCCTCTGGGGGCAGTCAGACCAAGAAGCGACATCAGGGAAAGCAACACGCGTAACCGCATCACACTCCCTTGGCTCAACAGAACCGGCGTTACCGCAACAACTTTGCCCAACCAGAAGAAAAAGGCCCGGTGCACGTGACTCCTTCAGAACCGCCGGTAGCAGCAGAGGAGAGAATGCCGAATCCTCTTCCGCAGTGCGCGCACGCACGTTCGAAGCAGAGTCGCACAACAAATCAACCTGCATACAGAGCAGCACGTCCTCGGCCCACGCCCGCAACTTCAGGTCCGCAAGCTCCGAAATCCAAGATTGGAGTGTCGCCTTAAGGACGTGGAAAGGCTCAACATGGCACTTGACAGCATCGAGAATATCTGTGTCGGAAGCGAAAGTAC